GTAGATATAAATCTCATGGTGCACGACTAACAAACTCAACGTTAATTTCTTTTTTTTTTTTTTGAGACCATTGTAATAACAGACGGACTATGTAAAAAACAAATAACAGTCACCAGTAGTACTATCATAACTATCATCATGATCATCACTGCATAGATAAATAAGCACATATCAAAAAAAATCCTAGCAATACGCAGGATAATACAAAAAAGCTATGGAGCACAAAATTATTGTTAATACTAACAATATTCCTTAAAAGTTTACACTTGACCTCTTCGAACATCTCATGTGGTTTATATACGCCGGTTAACCGACAGAAATGAAGGCTGATAGTTTCGAAAGAAACTTTTTGGGGCTGCGTCGGTGGGAGTAACGAAATAATTTGGATATATCAACAAAGTTGAAATGGTAAATTGGCCACCGTAACGATTACAAAAGCTGACGTTTCGAGCGTTAGCCCTTCGTCAGAAAGTGTGGTTTACTGCTTATGCTGTATATACTGTAGTTGAGCTTCCCGGTTCTCCAGAAAGAAAAAGGTGTCTTTCGTTAAGCTAAATTTTTAAGTGAGCTATTAACTGACTCGAAAAATGGCCTTGTGTTGTAATTTGGATGACTAAGTGGCACCCAGCCTAAGCTTCATTGGGTAAAATAGAGACAGACAGGTTTATTTATGAAAGGAAATTCTGAAAAAGACTTTTTACAAAACGTCGCACATCTGTGTCATGAAAAAGGGGGGAAACGAGGAGAAATTTTCAAACATTTGTTACTTTCTCGGAGGGAGGTGTCTCGTGTTTTTCTGTCACCGATCGCCGACGGGAAATTCCGCTTAACTTCCTTAGATCGCGACCACTGGAAGGCGCTGACTACCTCACGGCTTCCTACAACTAAATTGTAACCAGGAAGGTTTCAATGCAGAGAGTCCCTCTGCTCAGTCTGGCAGCACGAGGATTGGGATTGTTTGTTTTTATATTTGAGGTGAAAGGCCAGGCTCCTGCGAGGGCGGTACAATGTCTGCTGAACAAAAGTGCACAGTACTTCCCAATCCATATGTATGAAAAAGTAATAACAATATTAATATTCCCTAACTAGCCAAGGGGTGGCACCAAAAAAAAAAATAATCATAACATAAAAATAAGAACAAAACAATAGTCATAGCCCAGTAAAACAAACTAAAACAATAATTATAGCCCTAACCAGCCAAGGGAAGGCACCGAGAAAAAAATAAAAAGGAAAACAGTAATCACAAGATAAAACTAAAAGCAAAACAATAGTCATAGCTCCGTAAAATTAACCAAAACAATATTCGAAGGTCTTAAACGAAAAAATAAAAACTATGCTAAAACAGTAATCATAACATAAAACTAAAACCAAAACAATAATCATAGCCCCTAACCAGCCAAGGAATTGCACCTAAAAAACAAAACAAACGAAATAAACCCTTGAAAGAAAAGGCATGTGGCCATCCGTGGTTTCCACGACTTATTGTACCATTTCCTACTGGTGGTGGTTGCCAAACAATCTGTAGCAGCAGTAGTCCCTGGCAGGGAGTGGTGGCCAGGGATTGTTGTGATTCAAGGATTGGGTTTGGTGCGGTAAAGTGAAGCGGTGAACACAACACTTGTGGTAACAGAGCAAAACATAATATATATCTTGGAGACAAAGACATTAAAGCCAAAGGGTCGAAAAACAAAACATGTATTGGATACCTGTAGATGTAACTAAAGGACTACAAAGTAATTGAACTGATCACGTTCCTTTCCCAAGTTTTATCTCCAAGTTTTACATTTAAAAGCCAGCTTTATTAAAGAATTGACGTTTCGTTAATAGCCAACCTCTCAAATACAAACACCAAAGTGTCAGAAGAAAGCTGTCTGTTTCGAAGATCGTAGCTACATGTAAAACAGAAACGCTTATGCATCTACATTGAGTAATGTCTAGATCTTCTATTTTTAATTCCATCCTAATATGCTCTGTCCAAACATGTTTTGTTTTGTTTATTCAAATCGTAGTGTTAGCGAAACTAGACACTATTAAAGCCCTAACCCGAGCTTTATTAGGGTTACTTGAGGAAGCTACGGAAGCTCAAGTAACCATTGCTTTTAATATCCTACCACCACTTCACTGGTTAGTAGTTTCTCAAGTATTATTGCCATCCACGCAAGTATTATATTGAATAATTTTCACAAATCAAAAGTTATTGCGGCCGTAGGGAAAGTGCAAATTTCCCCGTATACAGCTACGGGCAGTCCTTTCACATCTTATTCTAAGTCACGGCTTATTATGATTTGAATTCGACACCTTGAAAAAAACTCAGCTATGCAAGGTCAAACTCTTGGGCTTATTCCGTAGTCCATATTTTTCGGGCACCTCACCCATGGAGCTCCTGCGGCGCGTGGACTTCAATCCGAGAGCTCCCCGCGATGCACTAACGTCAATTTCTTTTTTCGCAGATTTTCTTTTTTAACTCACGTGACGGACCTCACCAAAAAGGAGGAACTGGTCATACTATAACCTGTATTTAACATTCAGAACTTTCTACCATAAGTCAAACATTGCATAATGATATTGCGGATGTAGAGNCTAATGTTGTCAGCCTCTGTCTCGTCGTGAGGCTAATTTTGCCGTTATTCATTTCTGAACGGGAATGAAGAGAAATAAGTCTCTCATGGCCGTACCTATTACGTAATGCCTGTGAATTGTTGGAGGGAGTATATTTTTCTTCTGTGCTGCTAAACTTCGGGAAATTGATTTTCAGACTTGTGGCTGCTATTAGGCAGATGTTATTTATTATTAATTAACTGCTCTGGATGATTGGCAAAGTGTTTTGAATAATCTATTTTCCCTCAATGAATTGTATACTTCAAAAATAAGACAAAAACCCCGTTTTGTTGGCACTATAACAATGTATAGCCTGCAAGAAAGAAAACAACAGATTGTCCTTCACGTTTTATTGGTTGGGAGAGAAACAGAAAGTTTTAATCAAAAAGGGAAAAATCCTAAATGTTTACAGATCAGCTCGCTCATCTCAGAGGAACTCGGTCTCAGAATTCAACCTTCGCCATGAATGGTTGGATCAGTCCTCTTTTACCGTTATACCTTTTGTTTTCTGTCTCTGTCTCGTCGTCTCAAGGTCAGTTTCTCCAGTGCCTAGTTTTGAACGAAGGATAGTGAGGGTAAAATAGTAATTTAAGAATATCGTTTCTCGTCAACTGTACTTGGTGATTAAGAGCAAATGTGGCCAAAAATCGAACATTTTCAAAATATGGTGGCAACAGCCCAAAAATCGATTCGGCTCATATTCTCAAGTTAGGTAGGCCTTATGGTGAAACAAAGCCCTGCATACTTAGTTTGGCCGAATATCGATTTATTTTCGAGAAAATCGATGAAAGCTGAGTTTCGCCCAAATGCCGCTCTTGCAGCTCAAAATTTCAGACGAATCTCGTAGCGTCGCGCCACGAATTGAAAACACTTGGACCGATAAAAACTACCAAATCTTGACAAACAACATCCGTACATAATTTGACAGCAATTTGGGCAATTCTTGATCGTTTATTTACACATCCTAATTGAATCTATACGACCCTCTTCCCACAAGATTAAAAATAGGTTAAAAGTAACCCGTTATTTAACTATGTGCTATACAAAATGATCGACAGAAGATCTGGCTTTTGGAACGCGAAGTGTGGTTCTTTTCGATCTCCAAAGGATTTTTTTGGGGAAATGATTCAGGGCGATTTCATCAAGTTTTAAAGTTGGATAAAATGAGCTGATTTGACGTTGCCGTCAGTTATTCCAAAATGTGCACATTCACTTGCAAACTCGATTGTTTCGCAATTAACATCCAATCTACAGCTTATTTAATATAATATCATGTTACCGTCCATATTGCTGTACCACAAAAGCGGCTTGCAGTCCTGAAATTGTTGCATCGCTCCCATAATAGCGATATAACTTGGCAGAATAGTGTCAATAGTCAACACCTTTTGATAATGATTGTTTACAAAACGTATCTCTGAGTCAGCGTTTCTCTCTTTCCATTTCGTTGAAAAGGAGGCTGTAATTACTTCACGTAAGAGATCTTTGTTTAAATATAAGTCTTAAACTAAACCACGCACCAAATGTTGGCGAATTGTTGCTAGTTCAGAAACATGTTTCTCAGGTGCGGAATAACGCTAATTAATTCAAAATTAGCGTCCACAGAAATCGACAACTCCGCAAAAATACAACTTAGGACCGTGAAGCGCGTGGCTATAGAAACTAAGGTCGAGTGTTACATAAAGGAAACAGGAGCGAACAATTATTTAACTCCGATCCTTATTGTTTAGGTTGCTAAAGCTCATTTTAGGACAAAAAGAACGAAAGATAAACCTAGTTCGGGGATTAAAACTTCTGCTTGCAACAATACTACTGTATTTTACTGTTGATAAGTTTTCAACTTCCCTAGCTACACTTTAACTACATTTTCTTCTGTTGACGGTATGTAATATTCAAAACGAGTTACAGTCAAATCTACCTGCAATGAAATTCAGAGGGGTGTTTTCATCGTTAATCGCTGAAACCACACTGAGTATCTATAGAAACACTTGTTGCTTACTTTGTGTAAGAAGGAACCGGTCGAGATGACAATTGCCTCGAGTAGAGGTACGTAAGGATTTTAAATAATTTGTAAGTATTTTTTACGACG